CCCTACTAGTTTCCTTGAGAGTTCCTTTTCTACGAATTGTGTCATATGACAATTATTTTTTGTGAAAAATAGAGTCCTTCCTCAGTCTTGGGAGGTCAGGTATTCTAGTGAAAAAACCATGGATGCTTAAAGCCTAAAGATCAACCATTGAAGTCTGGCTTCGCCATATCCTGGTTGTGGTTCACAATGCTATGTGTTCACCGAGTTCTACTGTTTCTTTCTTTGGCCACATAGGAAGTTTACTTAGGAGGCCCACCAGTATTTCTGGCCGAGGATTGTGAGATGAAGTGATTATATTGTTTCAGAGCTGAAGTGTGAAATAGCCAGTGGGAGTTCCTCCTTGCTCTCTAACCTTGCTGCCATCACCTTGAAGGCCATATGTCCTGGTTGGTGCAGCTACGAGATGGCAGAAATTCCTGAGGTGCATGTGGGACGGAGGGTCTCCCCATAGTCTTACATATTACTTTGTGCAAGCAACAGATAAACTTCTGTTGTGCTAAGATGCTTAGGCTTCATAGTTGATTATTTTTACTGTAGCATTGCCTATCCTAAAATACTAGTTCTCTGGCTTTGTACAAGCTACTTAACAATACTGAAGCTATAAAAAGGGGATAATAATATCTTCCTCAAAAGGCCATCTTAAAAGACTGCAGTGATGCCTCAACAAGATACCGCATATACATTACTCAGAATGGAGCCTTGGCACATGGCAAGGGTTGGAAAAATATTTTGTCCCCTCTGTTCTCTCAGGAAAATATATAGCTATTTTTTTAAGTAGTACTTAAACAAAGGAGCAAATACAACCTACAGTACTCAAGACTGCACGTGCAGTTTCCAGATGATAAAGGGATGAGCCTATGTCTGTGGTGTTGGTTTGACTCTCAGTCCTTTACCTGGAGTGGACTTTGATAAAGTGGCCCCTGCCTAGAGAATGCCACCATCATGTCAAGGCGTCTGGAACCCAAGGCACCTATGTTCCTTTCTAAACATCATATTTAGAAAGATTATTGACAGATGAGGAACCTTCTAGAGGAAGGTAAACATATTAGAATAAGTCAGGAAATCATGGGACTGTGGAAATAACCTACTACAAGTGAAAGACTGAGTAAAAACCTACTACAAGTGAAGTTGCTATATTTAGTAAATGAAAACAGAGAAGTTGCAGTAAAATTTGAATTTTAGATAAACAATGAATAATATTTTAGTGTAACTAATCCCTCTGCAATATTTGGAGCCAAGTATTCCTTATTTAGCTGAGATTCAAATTTAACTGGGATTCCTTTATTTTTTCTAGCAATTCTAGCTATGGGGAGCTTAGGATCCCTTACTGGAGATAGGCATTAATGTGATATGAAGACATAACCTCATAGTCATGATGATAAACTCCTACTTATACTGGAATAATGTGAGCTGATGGGTGTACAAACTTCCGAGCAAACAACAGGAAAAATCAGAATGAGATGGCATTATCCTGAGAGGATTGCATGGGAGAGGCAGATTTGGATGAGGGTAGTAATTTTAGTTATCCTCACTAAATATAGATATAGGTAAGTAAGAACAACTCTTTCTTTTTGGTTTGCCCTAATATACACAAGCAGTTACAAAGCAGAATAGTAAGATGTAGGTAGTGCTTTCTCACAATTTTGGCCATTCCTCCCTTCTTTCTTCTGGCCCTCGCACACTAATCAATGCATACATTTATAGAGGAACTGTGCTAATGGCTCTCTCTTTTTTTAAAAAAACATTATTATTATTATTACTATTATTATGTTTAATTTGACCAGAGAGAGACAGAGAGAGAAAAAGAGAGAGAGAAAGTGAGAAAGCAAGTCATCAGGCCCAGGACTTGAACTGCTATCGGCTGTGTGAGAACCCAGTGCCTTAACCACCACACCACCTGCCGGCCCCTAAGTGCTCTCTTCACATAACAATACTTTGTAAGAAGGGAAATCATATCTCACAAAATCTACAATGACTTAGAAAACTTACAAGCAAACTCTCAGGCTGTCTGTATGTTTAGTAGAAGAGGGTTCTCGGTAAGCGGGAGCAGAGGAAGGACCAGTCCAAGTTGACTTGCAGGGGACAAAGTCACTCTCCTTACCTCAGATCTTTTTACTTTACTATCACTGATCATTCTAGTAAACTATGCTCACTGGGGAAGATGAGAGCACAGAGAAAAATATAAAAAGATGGAAAATACTAACATTTTGGATACTTTCTCCCTGCTTTCTCTCCACTTTTTTCTTTAGTATTAAGTAGATTTTAGGCAAATTATCCCCCCCACCCCTCAGTTCACAGTTTCCCAAAGTTATGAAAATCTCTTTCTGTGTATTTTAGATCATCCATTTTGAATTCTGTTTTAAGGGCAAAGAATTAGATTGAGTAAGGACTCCTCACCCTTGCCCTAAGGGAAATTGTCCAGACTTTGACCTGTGAAAGCAGAGGTCCTAGGAAAAGAAAGTGCCTTTTCTCTATTGCCTTCGAGACTTGCTGGGCAATTGTTCTGAGTTCAGATGGAAACTTCCTGCCCAGACTAGCTTTGACTCCTGTCTTTATCAGGTGTTGGACTCCAGTTTTACTAACTCTTGAAGGCCATAAAATGAGCCTGTCCCATTTGCATTTACTCCTCTGTCCTCTGTGTTCGTAAACACTCCCTCCCTGCCACTACCCTTTGCCCTTCCTGTCCATGAAGGCCAGAAACATCACCCTGTTCCCAGAGAGCTGCCCCTACTCTCAAGTATTGTCTCTTTTCTCTCTGGCTCCTGGAGAATTCACACCCCTTCAGCAATGGGTGGGGGAGAGGGGGGTCACACAAAACACAGATTCCAGTTCTAGGCCCGAGACTTCCTGGGAGAGGAGAAGTCCAAGCCAGCTCACTGCTCAGTGAGTGAGTTATGAAACATCTGAATGGGCGTGCTATTTGCTTTTCATTAACAGCTGCAAAGACTGATGATCACAGCCTGCAACACCTGCATGTGATGCACACACGGAGACAGAGGCCTTTTGCAGAGCACACACCTAGCTAGACTCTGGGTTGGGTATTAGACAAACATTGTTCCCTTTGGTCTTCACAGGCTCTATCAGGTACATTTGCCACTGTTCCCATTGCAGGAACGGGCCTTTAGGGGAGCAACAGAAGTGTCTAAAGCCACATAGCTGGTGATATAGACTTGAACTTGAGTTTTCTGCTCTCTCACTCTGAAGTCTAGGCTTTTTACTACTGTCCTGAATCACCTCCCCAAGAGCAGAGCATCCCAGAGCTAGAGGGCCTTCAGTGCTTCCCACTGTGGCTGCATGTTAGACTCACCTAGGGAGCTTTGAAAACATGAATGTCCCTGACTATCTGCAAGCCAACTGAGTCTCTGGGTGAGGCCTGCTCTTGCTATACACACACACACACACACACACACACACACACACACATACTTGAATTCTGAGGAGCGGCCTGCTGAGAAGGTGTAGAATTGACATCTTTATTTAACAAACAATGGAAGTGACAACCTGTGAGCCCAAGTTCAAGTTTCTATTGAGTAGCTAAACTGGAGCAAGGTCCAGTCCATACATAGACCCCTGTGTAGCCACGGTAACTGATGGGAGGTACCGATTAAAAGCCTTTGAATGGTGTCAGTTCCATATAGAAAGTCAAATGCACTCATACTCCCTTCCCCTCTGAGCTCAAGGTGTTTATTTCTCCATCTCTGCCCTCAAATTTAAACATTAGGACATTTAGTTTGTCTCTCTTAGTATCCCTTTTAGGGATCATATTTAAATTTTTTTTTTCTTTCAAATTTCTTTTGCCATAGGGCACATACACTTGCCAAAGAGAGACAGAGAGAGGGAAAGTGAGAAATCACCCCCTGGAGGGTATGGGTACACCACAATCCTTTCTCCTCCATTTTCTTTTTGGGATTTTTGGGCATGCACACACATGCCTGGCATAATTTTCTTTTATTTTCTTTTTTTAGAAGTATTTTATTTAACTTTATTTATTATCATTATTATTATTTTCCAGTTTGATCAGAGAGAGAGAGGCAAAGTAGAAAGTAAGCCACCGGTTCTGAGACTTAAACTGTAGTTAGCCATGTGAGAGTCCAGGACCCTCAATCACCACATCATCTGCTGGCCCCAACCTGGTGTGATTTTCAAACCACTGAGTCTGGAACTCAAACTGTGGCTGGCCATGTGGGAATCCAGCTCTTTAATCACCATGCCACCTGTTTGGCTTCCATACTTAGAATTTTAAAGCAACACACATGTTGTAGCTGAGTGACCACAGCAAGTTAAAAATCAAATCTGCATTATTTCCTGCATAAGAACTCTAACCATAGTTACTATGTTTTTTTAAAAATTAATTATTTTACAACTTAAAATATTGTCAAATATAAATATATTAACAGGTTAACGGATAAGCAATATGTGGTTTGTACATATAATGGAATATTATTTGGCCTAAAAAGGAAGAAAAATTTCTGATGTATACTACAACATAAATGATACTAAGTGAAATAACTCAGAAACCAAAGGAGAAATGACGTATGATTACCCTTGCATGAGGTATCTAGAATGGGTAAATTCAGAGACAGAAAGTAGAATAGAGGTGGGCTGCCCCTGTGGCCTGGTGGTGAAGGGATCTGGATCCCACACGGCCAAGTGCGCAGTTTGAATCCCAGCCCTGGTGTCTTGAAAAACTCTCCAGATGTATATGTGTGTGTGCAAAGTCCCAGCAGGATGGAGAAACGGAGGAGAAGGGATTACAATGTGACCATGCCCTGTTGTGGGGTGGTTTC